GACCGGCCGGACGCCATCGAGAAAAGAAGGTGTAGTCAGCAGCTGTCCAAAGAGACTTCGCAGGGATGGGCCAGCAACGTACCTTTCTGTTCAGCCAGTGCTGTTCAACAAGATTGTGTTTTCAGCGGTGTCCCACGCATGACAAAGCACACTCGCGAAGAGCCAAAAGGTTCATCGCTCCCACACATACCCAACCCGAAGGCTGCACACCGCGTTATACGAGCGAAAACAAGACCGTGAGGTCAAGAAAAACCCGCGGCCGCAACCGTGTCATGTCATAACAAGTGTCTGCCAGAGCAGGCAACAAGAGTCACCCATGACCAGAGGAAGCCAGTTCGCCTCACCGTCAGGGACGCTCAAGAGAGTCAACCAGCGCAGTGACTTTACACGCCAGAAGGGGATGAACCTTTGCGTTGCAAGGGAGGCCATGGAGCCTTCCGTCGTGTGACGAAGTTCGAACCAATCATGCCAAGGCCCCGCCCGTGCTCCCAGATGCCGCAATCGTTAGAACGCTAAAAGCATTGGTCGCCCAAGCGGGGTGGAAAAAACGTCGATGCGGCCGGCACGAGAACGTCGTGAAACAGAACTCGCCCTTTCGTCTGGACGTATCCTGCCCTTGCGGGCCTTCACCATGGATGACAAGTGAGGACGGCCAGAGCAGTCAACTGCAGAAGTCAAGGCGGTGGGGGAGGTCGAGCCACGAGGGCTGACAGAAAGAGGAACAGAAGGAAAACTTGCAATGCCGGGGCCAAGGCCGCACCGGTCTTTGGACTTGACCACTGACTGGATGTCTGCCGGGGCGAGACAGTCCGATCATTGGCTGCAGCTGGGCCGAGATGCCTCACAGCAACGCCCGACCCAAGATTGCCCGCCCAAAAGGTGGAACGCCCTCAGGCCCGCAGCGGGGGAATGGGACTGACCAGCTTCTACCGACGCCAAGAGGCGCCGGAGGCCCAAGGGAGATGTGCTCGGATGCGCGGTGTGCAGGAGAGGATGTGGACAGTCGGTGATTGATGGTTGGAGGGTGCAAGTGTGTCCTGCTCGGGTCTTGACGACGCACCGAGCTTTGAGGTGTTGCAGTGGAGCGGAGTCCGGCCCTGGGTCAGAAGCGACACGCCAAGGATGGGCAGTCCAGTCGGTGAAGAGGTGGAAAGCGGGCAGGTGCATGAGGTGGTGGTTTGACATGGATCTTTTCCACTTGGGAAGGCTACTCGGGTCTGAGCGACGCACCGAGAGCGATGAGGTGTGAAGATGGAAAGAAGGCTCGCTCGGGCCTGCACGACACACCGAGGCCAGTGAAGAGTGCTGATGCCAGGGAAGCTCTGGGTCTGAGTGACGCACCAAAGCTGGTGGAGCGCGGTACGTGAACAAGAGAAGCTCACTCGGGTCTGGACGACACACCGAGGCTGGTCGGCGTGAAGCATCAGCAGAGCGACGCACTCCGGTCAGAAGACGCACGGAGATTGGACAGAAAGGAGAAGGGTTGAGGGAATGATATTGATATTCGGGAGAGTTGTGCTGGGTACATGGTAGAGTTTGGTCTGCAAATCGTCAGCGGCGATATCTCAGAAGAGTGGAGGGCGAAGTACCTGAGGTATTGGCGGGAGCCATTGCGTGGTGCCGGAGAGCATGAGGTCTGCGGCTCATGCAGACACGTCGTCGACGATGGGAGCGCAGCGTATCCTGGCAATGAGGAAGCGTCATGTCGGTGATGAGACGGTTGCAAGTTGGATGAGACTCTGACGCGGCGCAAAGTAACGCTTGGACGACGCTGAGCCAAAGTCGACCGCAGCTCGTGTTGGGATGGAGATGACAACGCAGGGAAGCCGCAGACCTGCAATACCGTCGCCATCGAAACTCTGAGAGCACTTGCCGGTCTTGAGGGCGAGGACGGTGATGCATCGCAGTGGGCAAGATTTGGCGGCAGGTTCTGATGAGGGCCGGAGCTTTCCCGGCCGAGGCAGCGCCGAAGCTGGACGCCAGGGTTGGCAATGGCAACTGTCGACAGCACGCAGCACGTGGGATGGCGGCGGTCGAGATGGATGAGAGTACCTACGGACGCACAAGTCAGGAATGACGACTCCAAGCGCTCTGGGCGATGAGGGTTTGGCATACCGTGCCGCGACGTCGGGCAGCAAACAGCAGAATGATCTCCGCCAGAGCCCATGCGTGGCGTGAGAGGACAAGGCTTCTGGATGTTTGTGTCTGTGAATGGCTCTCTGCTGGCTTCTGATGACAAGGCACTGTGCGGTGTGGCATGCCGTGCGCTGTCCCGAGTCACGTGGTATGGCGGACTTTGCTCTTGTTGTGGTGGTGCCAAGTCGTCGTGTCGGCCAGAGACAGTTCGGAGGCGCAAAGGAGATCCACTGTCACGCTTTGAATAGAAAAGGCATTTGAGGTCGATGTGGAAGGTCTTGGAAGCGGCTTGGGCAAACAGTCCGTGGGAGCAGCCAGCCCCGCCTCAGAAGGACCGCAGGCCGGGACTACGGAGGCAAGCGGCGACGAGAGGGCGGAGGACGCTCGGTGATGCCTGCACTCACGAAGACGGTCAGCGTAAGAGGCAGCGGAGAGTCAATGCCGTGCCGTATACGAGGGAGGAGCTTCCGCCTGAGTTCTGTGGTGCCCGCGGAGGTGAAGTTTGCAGCCGAGCGGCCGAATTTGCTGGTGCTGACGGATACCTCACTGGCGGCGATGCTTCAGAAGGAGTGCGACATGATGCCATTGGCGGAGTCGCAGGCCGCTTGCCTTAGGAGCCTGGAGGATGCTGTTGACGATTGTCAGTGCCTCACCAGCAGCCAAACAAGAGGAAGCTGGACGTACAATGGCGCTTCAGCGGCGGCGACAAGAGCCTTTCTCGTGGCGCTGGTGGATGCTGCTGTCGCTGATGGTGGTGATGATGATGAGCGGCAGATGGTCTTGATGATAAGAGCAGGCGGTGGGGAGTGATGGATGATGGTGAGGATGTGGTGCTGTGGTGGATGTCGAGAGGGAGAAGTTGATGCAGGTGAGGAAGTGACTTCCGAAGGAAAACTGCTGAAGGCATCCATCTCGTCGCCGGCGGTCCAAGCGTTCTCGCGCTAGGACGGGGTTCCGCTTCCCTCGCTGGCCAATATCTCAGCCACCATGCGAGCTGTCGACACCGGAGCTGCGTGAGCTTGTTCCGCGTGGCCGATATACCCTCCCTAGCCAGCAATCATCGATGAACTGGGCTGTTGGAAGGATATTGCTGCCTCCGAGGAGAGCAAACACCGCAGAAGCCATACCGGAACCCTGGAAACCTTATTTTCGCGCGCGCAGTATAGCATCGCGGCGGCGTGAGCTCGAGCCTCAGCCTCATTAACTTACATCCTTCCAGCCAAGTCATCTCCATCCGCAAACAAGTCGAAGTGGACGAGAAGCGCCTTCAGAGCCGTGGAAGGTTCTCCAGCAATCGAGCTGACAGCACAGCCTCTGAACTGTTTTCACCCACCACCGCCTTACTCCGCCGCCGCCGGCCACCGAGGGGCCACCACCACCTTCTCCGCCTTCAGCGCCAGGGCCACTCCGCGCGAGCATTCGGCTTACCATAAGCGTCCGAGCGCAAAGGTCCTGCTATGAAGGGCCGTCGCGGCTCGGTTGGCCATAGTGAGAGCCTCACAGGCTCTTGGATCGCGCAGACCCTTCGCCGGCTCACTTCCGAAGTTCAGCAAAGCCGACCCAACGGCTGACGATGACGGCTTGAACCATATCCTCTTGTACATCATCAAGACGCAGTACGAGCCGGAAGGCAAGATCAACCTGGACGCGGACTTCGCAGCGCGCTTCAAGGGCATCTCGAACTTGCTGCAACATGCCCTGAGGTATGCGGAACAGCTCCAAAGTTTTCTTCACGGCTCAGAAGTGAAGGACGAAGGCTACCCCGGTCACCATTATACTGGTGGTGAAGAGTGCGAAATACCACTGGTTTCTGGGCTGCTTCCTCCCCAACGAATTCCCAGCCTTACAAGCACAGAAATAAGAGCGCCGGGGGTGGAAGTATAACGAGATAGCATACAAAACAAAGAACGAATAAGAAGACTCCTGCCTCCTCCTTCTCCAGCAGACTTTCCATCTCCTCTCCAACTCTATAGCAAGATCTGGGCTATCGAAACCGACCGCAAAGCTTTGGAGCTATTCGATCAGCTCTAGTACGGATGCATAGCCGAGAAGTAATCCAGACCAAACCACAGTACAGAGATAGATAAATCACAACGTGTAAGAGACCCACGAAAACGCACTCAATCAGTCAATCACAGTACAGTACGAAAACAGCACAATAACGTCTTCTTAACCAGAAGAAGCTGAAACCACGCGGGAGCTTCCCAGTGCAGAGAGAAAGAGAAGTATCCCATGTTACCGACAGCGAGCGAGTCATTCCCGCGAAGAAAAGGCAAGGGAAAGGTAAGAAACAGCTATAGCTTCCTCCTGGATGTCTGGATGGGATAGGTGCGAGTACCAGGTAAGATTCCCGCTGCACCACCTCCGAACCGTTCAAGCCTTTCGGAGTCAGATTTTTCGTGTATTAAGAGATTTGCGGCCAGTGTGTCCTCGTGAAGCATCTCCAGATGGGAGGAAGGATCTATGGAGCGGAGGGAAGGATCAAGTTTGCTGAGAAGTGGGAGGGCGGGCAGAGATTTTGGATTGGAGATGAGGATTGAGGTCCTGAGGAGGGAGAGGGCGGGGCCGGTCAGAGGGGGGGAGCAGAGTAAGAGTGCAAGAGAAAAGAGCGTCATCGTTTGTGTGCGTGCAGCGTGTATGTATTTTGTATCTTAGCTTTGCGGGACCTGGCATCATTCCTACAATATCCTCCAATCCTGCTTCGCGCGGCGCGGACACGCGATGAGTTCCATATTCCTCAAAACAGACGCCGGAAAGTAAAGTCAGTGTTCATGTATCCAAACCAGAAAACGCCTCCAACGCGTCTATCGTCCTGTCCTGTCATCGGTAGCCGCACCGTTCATGTATGATATCACCTCCTCATCTTACTCAAAATCCTCATCGGAGTCTCCGAGCGCAATCGGTGTGCGACGCGAAGATACGGGAGGACCATGGCGGCTCTGGCCTTTGACGTGGTGACGACGTGCTTGCGGAACGTGTGCGCGACCCTTGGTGAGACTGCTGCCAGCGACAGGGTATTCCATACTTTGGGGCGGAGCGCGTGCGGACACTGCGTCGGGAAGACTGTCGTCGTCGTCATCGTCGGCATCGGCATCTCGCGGGGATGGGAGCGCCTCAGCCGCATTGTGGTGTCCGAATTCATCTCCTGCGTTGTCGTCTCCCATCTCTTCATCTGCTGCCTCGCTCCTCGGACTACCCTCCACGATCGGTCGCGCACAGCCAGGTGCAACTCGGCGCTCATCGTTACCGCCGCTTTGGTCAGGGGGAGAACCATCAACCACTTCCCAGCGGTCATCGTTATCCTTCAGGTAATCGCGAATGCCTGGGAGAAGCTTCTCAATCGTGGGCCAGGGCTCATCTTTCTGGCCTTCAAGTGTGTTGAAGACATGGTAGACTGCCCTCAAGTGCTTGTCGGTGAGTGACGGCGGGAGAAAGCTGCCAGAGTACCCTGGAAGAAGCCCACTATGCCAAAGACGGATCCACTCCTTCAGGTTGTCCCAGTGGGGCACCGCGTTGGAGAGCTCGAAGTGGATGAAACCAGGCAAGATGGGCGAGACATCGAACGCAGCAGCGCGCTTGAGTCCCATCCAGAGCTCGCGTTCGTCTTTCGATGGATACGCCTCTGTGAGCGTTTCGTGAATTTCGGTGGCGGTTTGAAACCAGCCAATCCAGTCCTCGCATTCGAAGGTCTCAGGAACGGCGATGATGTTCAGTGGCAGCCTTTCGGCGTCGGCGTGAAAGCTACGAGTGCGAGACCACCAGTTCTGTATGGCAGCGGCGTTGAAGTCGGTGATGTGCAGTGTGAAGCTGTTCGCGAAGTAGAAGATTGGGACGGCGAGTTGGCGGATCTGCTGGCAGGTACGAAGGAGGGCGATTTCGTGCTTCGGCTTGAGAATCTGACGGCCGTTCTCATCGACAACGCTACTGCTCAAGTCCATCCCGTCCGTAGTGACTTTGATATCTCGATTGAGAACCAGGACTTCATGGAAGATGTGCCGAAGCACGCAGTTGGGCAACTGCAGGATGTTGCCGCCGCCACTGGCGTAACGGGTGTCGTGGTTCACGCGTGCCTGGAAAGAGATCAGTCTTCATACTGAGCTCTGAGCCTCACGCAGGGCAGAAACAACGGACCATGAGCTCTGGATCCTGTCGAGAAGAGTTGAGGTGCTTCTGCGCGCGAAGGTTGGGCGGGAGACAGCCATCGCCCTCGCCCTCGTCGTCGGCGCCACGACGACGCTTGCCGAGCAGACCGAGCCAAGCCATGGCGCGTGGTGTATTGTACAAGAGTATGTCTTGGAGAGCGAATGGTAACGTGGGAGAGGTTCTCGGTGTGACTGTAGTTGAAGCGCCGAGAGAAGGGTGGTTTGTCCGAGGAGATTGGAGATGGGAGGAAGGTGGGCGGGTCGAGAGACTTTATGTGACTTACGATGAGGCGCGGGCATCGTGAGCTGTGAATTAACCAGTAAAAGATACGAGATTCAGTGCGTGTCTTGGTGTGTCGAATGCAAGTCTCTATTGCAAGTCCCGCGGAGCGGCGCTCGTGAATTTCGCGCTAACGCCATGATCCGCGCTAGTGTGCCGACGGATCCAATCAGCGAGGTGCAGTGTCTAAACCCCTGCACTTCATCTGCGTGCGCTGCAAACGGTGTGTTGACTCTGCAACTGCAGCTTCGCGCCTTCCTCACTGAGCGCGATTACCCCGCCGCACGCGCCAAGCCTGATGATATGGCATGCAATGAGGTAGGTGGATATCGTCCCACCAGACGTCTTTCGTTCGTATGGGCAAGACATGCTCGTCCAGAATCAACCTCGCCGACACCTGGGACATCGCGGTCCAGTTCAACATTCGTCTGACGTTCCTGCGCTCGCCACTGGACTTCGGCATCGCGCCGAGAATACCTGCCTCCACGAGCCTCCTCGCATCGACGTTAACCCCGGTCCTCATCGCCTTCTCTGCCTACGCCTGCAATGTTGAAATGCTGCCCCCATACGCGCTGCTGAATCAACCTCTACATCATGACTCGATCATGTTCAACATCTAAGAGCACAACCAAGACAGATCTGGTCTTGGACAGCGTGACTCGTGAAAACCGAGACTGGCAAGACATCAGGACCCCGATTTATGCCGTCTCAGCTTCCACGAGTCACCACGTGGCTACAGATGAGGCTACTCTGGATCATCATCTGTCTGCACGTTCGACAGAGACGTGGACAGAAGATTCGATAGGCAGAAGGACCTACTATGTCCTCCTTCCGCGAGCGATTCCCGGCCATCTCCTTGCGCAAACCCCGATCCGAATTCCGCTCGCAGCTGGAAAGACATCGAGACATGCATCGCTGTCATGACAGCTTCTCAAGACAGACAGAGGTGATGGCAACTGAGCTGGTCGAGTGAACTCAGGAGGCGACGAGCGAAGAAGAGGATCGAAAGAAGCTGGAAGACACCGCGCTATGCAGGATATGAGGTCTATGTGATTCAATTCGCTGGTGGAGAATCCACCGACACCGAGGAGAAGACTTCTACGGAAAGCGAGGAGACTGGGCTGGCCATTGCAACCATCATGTTGAAATAGCCGACAGGACTACTGAATCGCTCTCGGCGTTTCTCTCCCCGTCCAGCTGTCTTGACCTTCCTGCATTCGGTCTTCATCCTCTGCAGACGGATACACCAGGGGCGGACATTCTCTGCACGCAGTTTCCGTCCCAGAACCCTGAGCAGGCGCAAAGGAGGCAAGGAAGTCAAGGCAGCAGAACATCCGGGATCTCCGAGCAGTGGAGTCGAGCGAAGGAATCGGAGAATCGAAAACATTCCAGCGCATTCTGCTTCTTGCTCTGATTCTCGATCATATTCTTTGACTTTCCTGGAAGCTCAGTTCAAGACCAGAAACGCTTCAGACGCAGCTTCTCCATCCGCGGTCATCGGTTGGCGTTCATGCTTCCAGGCTAGGCTTCTACTTCCCGAGGACTTCTCTCCCTTGCTTCCTTTTTCTCTTCCTCCTCCAACATCACCGTTCGTTCCCACTCTGACCGCCCACGGCCCGAGACTTCCACTAGACGCTCTGATCGCGGTGTTGGACTACAAGGTGCGAGGGTGGCCACACTTGCCCAACATCATCGCCCGACAACTGGCACAGTGGTTGCCGCAAAGCATCATACAAGTCCTTGCTGCTCTTCGCTCCCCGTCTTTGACTCAGTGCATGCTGACATCGTGCCGTGCCAAAGTCCTCGCCGGTGCCACAGTCAGAGAAGGAGGAGCACGAGCCCAGCTCGTCCATGTCGAAGAAGCCTGTTGTGAAGCACTAGTACCAAGATGTCGAAGGCGACTTTGATTTCGCTTGACGATGTAAGTCCTCAGCGCTTACTGAAGACCTCGAGCTTGCTGATACCTTGGCAAGACAGAATGCGATATTGAAGGCCCCACGGTCGTCTGACTCGCCACGGCGCCGTGAGCTCTTCTTGGAGCCAACGATCATCGATCCTACGCCCAAAGATGACATTAAGACGATCAATAAGATCGGAGAGCGCAGCCGTCAAGCAGGCCAATGCGGCGCACTTGCGCCAACCCGCGCACCCATGCTTGAAGAGACGTCAAGAACACAGAGGAGAGGATCGCAAAAGGCTGGGTTCGAAGTCATCTTCGGGACATCCGAAAGAGTAGAATTGAGCGGTATGAATACACTTCTATCATATCCGGAGTTATATCATAGGAGGAGAGCGAGATTGGGATGCCTAGGCCAGGATCACAGCGTGGATGACTTGACCAAAGCGCTGGCCAGCAATCCTGAGACGCGGCGTTTGCGGAGCGCAAGCTTGATCTGCGGAATCTGGACTTCTGAGGTCTCCCATGGCTCGTAATCGCTAGGAATCATTATGCCCGACCCTCATTGAAAGATATCGGAGATGTTGTACCAGCCGCCGCCTTGCGTATATCGGGAAAGAGGACTGAAGTCTAAATGAGTGTGATTGCAGATCCATACGGCGGCCGTTCACATCTTCCAGGCTGGAAACATGCGTAAATCATGCTCCTAGATCCATTGCGCTGTCTATATGCCCCCGCTTCGCTCGAAATGCCTCAGCCCATCTTGCACGGAAATTTGACCATCAGGGCTACCCTCTGAAGAGACTCAGTGTATCGCATCAGCCAGGCTCCATCGACCGCCCGCAGCTTCGTTTCGAGCTTTGTGAATGGCATTAGAAGCCGCTTCGCCGAATCCTTCCGTAGTGAGAACCACCGGACTGTCAAAATCTATGACATCGGCTACAGCAGGAATACCAAGTCTGAACAAAGCGGCTGAACGCCACGCATTGCGATGAGCAGAGGGGATGCATGGCCGTCTTCATTGCTTCGCCAAGCGATACAGAAGCAGACTTGAGTGCCACGTCGCAGTCTTGTGCGGGCAGAAGTCTCCTGCTGCGCTCAGACGCACAGCCCAATACACAGAAGCCCACATCTCATCTCCGCCAGAGCCCGATAGAGGTGTGACAAAATGCGGACAGGTCGAGTAGCACGGAATGGGTGATGGAGAAGTCGGAGCCGCAAATCTCTGAAGCACGTCCTTCAAGCTCAGAGTGTGGCAGCAAAATCTGCAGGAAGGAGTAATTTCATTGCTTGATTTCGCCATTGGATGACCATCGGATCCGATTACCAGGAGCCGTACTGGACGAAGTGCTCGTCGAAGCTACCTCATTAGGTCCCCCGACCATTGGGACGTGGAGACGCCAGGCACCTCAAGCTCCAACTCAACGCCGTCTGAGCAACAGCACTGGACAGAGAGCAAGGGAAATTCATTCTTCCACAAGATTACGCCCGGTAGCTTTCGACGCTGCCGATGTCCTTCTTGAACGACACCTCTGCGCCTTCACTTCCATCGAATGTGCTTTGCACTACCCGCACAGCTGTCTTCTCATCCCGTTTTGTCCAAGTTTGACTCCTCGGCGACAACCTCATGCGTGAGCGACCCTGCATCTTCCATTCTGTTCCTGTGGCCTTGCCACTCTCCGTCTCTCCATAGTAATCTCAGTCTCCCTGCGCAGTAGCAAAACGCGTGGAAGGCCAAGACAATGGCACTCAACTCGGCGATCCCATATTCTCTATTAGCTTGCCCCTCGCCATCTCCTCTTTCCTCCGTAGGTCGTCGGAACAGGAGCGGCTTCGTCTTGGATTTCAAAGCCTTTGTTGAGTAAAAGATTGCGGCAGTCGTCTTCGATCTTCCTATGCGGTTGGTGGAGATGCGGCGTGGATTTCCGGCAGCGCGGACGAGAGGTTCTGCGGCTTTACGGAAGGTCTGGTTGCAGGCTCTGAAGCGCATGATTGCAGAGTTCTGCTGCTCTCGCCGTTAGAGCGGGAGTCGAGGGCGAGGAAACGAAATCGAGTGGAAGGTTGAGATTCCCGTCGTTCCTATCAAGCACGATGGAAGTTACAGGCATCCCTTGCTAGTGTGGAGTAGGTGGATTCCTCCCACACGATGGAATGCTCGCCGATGATAGATCCGATTCCAGACATCCCTGCTGATATCTTGCATCATATCTGCGTGGTCGCGGCGGGTTAAGCGCCCGACGAGTTTCAGAGCCGATATCTACCTCACTTTCGGACTGTCGAACTCTCTGTAGCGACTGGTATAGATCCAAGTTCCATGTTCTCCCTCCCAACATCCTTTCTCTCGCATGTGCAAAGTGTACCTCTCATGAGAATTCCACCTGCTTTCCTCTCTCGGCTCCTTTAGAGAAACCACGACGCTAATGTTTCGAACCCAAGTTCGGCGGCGATGTTGTGCAAAACTCCACCCTTCGAGCTCTGCTCTTCCTTTGGCTTTTCCTTATCCGATTGTAATGACTTGGTGTCCTTGACATCGCTGGAGGCGGACATTGCCGTAGTAAAGGGTTTTGGCTCGGAGGGTTTTCGTCTGATGATGCAGCGAGCGCTGTCGTTCTGGGGAGTCTTTTTGGCGAGCTTTGTGATGGATGCGTTGTAGGGCTTTGGGGGCATGATGGCTGGTGGCGATGTGCGGCTTTCGGCTGTCTTGGGGATGTCTGACCAGAGGGAGACTTCGAGAGGATGTAGAGGAGTCATCTTCGTTGATAGCGCGCTGGCTGAGGTTACACAAGTCCCTTGCTGAGTTGCTGCATGTGTGTATGGAGCCTCATCCCTGCGCTATCTTCTCCCCCGGCTGTATCGTCCCCCGGCTGTATCGTGGATCGAACAAAAGGTATGCTCTTGAAATTCGATTCAGAGGTTGGAGCTCCGTTGATGGCTGTGAGGCGGCGTTTTCGCCAGCTTTCCGCTGCGGAGCGGAGATTCGACCAGCGTTTGCAGGAAGGAAGTGAATTACGCAGCATGAGCTCAGTCGTTCTCCGAGTCCTAGTGCTTCTGCAGTCACTGTGTCAATAAATCATGAGAAAGGCGCTGGTGTGTAGTATGGTGGGTGATTGAGGCTGCTGCGTTTGGGGAAGTTACGGGAGGCTTCTGCAGCTGCCACAAGCTCATTCTTGGCATTGCTGCCCTCGCGCATTCCCTTCAACCTTTTCATCGTCCAACATACATTTTGATTCTTCGTCTTCTAACGTTTTAGCCATTGACATGCGCCCCGATAAAGAGACCATACACCCTTCTTTACCTGCACCGATCTTCCTGACATGGCCCATGCATCACAATTACTGCCTTGGCACGACCTACAACGATGAATGACACATTCTTACGCAATCAGACTATTCCGATTCGAGAGTCACTACAACGAACCCGTCAACTCACACTTGAAATGATTCTCCTATCTCTTACCCCACATTTTGGAGTGTTCACCACTTCATGATGACAAGTACGGTCGCTCTGAGGCACAATTCCCCGGAGCAAGCTGGGACTGTGCATCCCAGGAGTACCAGAAGCAAGCAGAGAACAGCTGTCATACGTTCGAGAATCAAGGTACACAATTTCAGCTTCTGCGCATAGCTTTCATCAAACACTTGAAAATAGGCTCTGTGGTGTAGCGGTCAACACACCTCGCGCCCGGGGCTCATGTCAATAGTCAAGGCCACTGCTTTTGAGTCGGCGGTGCCTCCGGCGTTGGCGAAAATGTCTCGAGGCTGCGAGGAGCCCGGAAGTTCGAATCTCCGTGGAGCCAACTTTTTTTTCTACTTTCTCTTTTTTTCTTTTCTTTGGCTCAGGTCCTGTTTCGGCCCGTTCGAGACTGGTATTGAGAGGCTGGAAAGCACACGGGAGAAAGATACTGCTGTTTCGTGTCATAGAGAGCGATTCTTTTGCTGCAGAACTAGATTACATGATGATGAGAGTTCCTTTCTGCAGGCATCGATGCGAGCTGAACGCAAGTCGATGTCTTTCGGGAGGGAAAGCGACTCTGTGGAGGTGCGCAGATCACAAACAAGATGATGATCGTCTACATCGCAAAGGCAGCCATGCGTCTAAGTAGCTCAGACGCTGTATATAGAGCTCTATCAGCATAGGTAATTAGAACAAATAGAAGCCTGATCTCGATACGACTATGTATCATCCCCCGAGCACTCGCCATTGGACTTTCTCCCCAGTGGACGGCAGCCACCGCTTGGACGCGGCAGCCTGACCTCCAAGAGTCTACGATTCGAGTTGTATCCAATCGATTTCCGCACCTATCCCCAATACCTGAGATGAGGCTGCGTTGCACTTCTCTCATATCTATGACCTTAGATTGCACTGGCTGGCGGCACAGCGCGGCAGTGGTAATCGTGCTTGATGCCGCGAAGCTCTTGGCCTGATTCCAAGTCGTTCCACTCTCTTACCTGTTGGCCATTCCCATCCAGTACATCTCCGGAAGGAGGAAACAGTAAAGAAGACGCGCTGGATGGGCCGGCGGAAAGAAACGTTTGGTTCGTCTTTGTCTTGGTTCGATGAGAAATGTTGATAGCAGAGTGATGTTGAAGCCGATTTGATGGGAATTGTACAGTCTGCCTTCGGACGTGCGAGTAGCTTTTGGCGGGAAGGCATGGTGACGTCCAGAAAGGGAGGCGAGGGCGGCTGTGCAAGCCGGCGGCAGAAGGTGCAGCCGCAACGCACCAGTGTACTACCCAAGAAGTGTTCAACGAGCACACTTACGATAAGAGCAATGTTGACGCGTAGAACGTAACGATCCTCCTCGCTCGAGTTCTGTGATGTTCTATGCGGCGTGTTTCATACTGGACGGAGGGAAAACTGCGAGCGGACTGTGCGTGGGCTGCAGAACGGCATTTGAGGTATATAGTCTTCACACGTGCCGAGACAGATATCCAATCAAAGCCAGCACTCTCCTGTGGTGTAGTGGTAACACGCCTGGCCCTTGAGTATGTTTCTCGGTAAGTGATCTGGCAGCGGCGGCGGCAGCAGCAGCGGGCAGAGCAGCGGACGGGGGCAGGCTGGGTAGTCAGGAGTCGGTGGTTCGATTCCATCTGGGAGAATTTTTTTTGAGCTCTGCTATGTTTTTGCTATGGTATTTGGCTGCAGAGCTTTACGACCTTCATCACTGCACCACGAGAGTGCTAACTTACAAGGTATGCCTAGGGATCAATGGTATAGAGCTTTTTTTGCTCCGCGAAGATTCTTTTTCATCTGTGCGAGCTTTTCATGGCAAGGCGCTTAGGCGTGGACAGTCGATGCTGCTTCGAGCAGTCCAAAGCGGAAGGAGGAACACTGGCTCTGGTGTCTTCTTTTTGCGCTTCGCGACGCTACTCCCACATTCATCTCTTCCACTTCAAAAAGTCTGGTTGCACGACACACCATATCAGCACTCATCACTCAATGCATCCTGCTCCAGATCGCGATACTCCTAAGCACTCTCAGACCTCAGCGGCAGGTATGGATAGCACGCTTCGCCGCCATCTACATTGCGCCTTGCGAAGCCGTCTCTGTTTGGAGAACTCGGGTAGGAGGAACATCACAACACCTAGCACAATATCTATTCCTGACTACTGATTCCAGTCAAGCCAGGAACCCGCAGCGAGCAGCGCAGTTGACCGCCTCTGACTCCAGCCGCTGGCGCTCCGGCGCCTCGAAAGACAGTTGCACCATATTTCGAACATGTCCTGTACTCGCGCGGCCCCCGCACAAAGCTCTTCGGCTACTGTGGTACACTGTCAATTCAGCAAGGCCGCGACCACGTGCTGAACGCCGACATCGAGTACATTGAATTCGTTTGTTCCGACTCCCACCGCCAACGCCAGCAGCGACGCGCACTTGCAGCAAGCAATCGATCCCCTCTGCAGTGAATAATCTTTTCCAGTTACACCCAGGACGTCAACACCACGAGATCGATCTATCTGGACGCCGCCATCGAGGATGCCAGACGTGCCGCTACACGAAACACGGTTCTCTGGCTTCTGCAGTAGGATACTTCCGTACTCTTATATCTGCGTCTGCCGAACCTTGCCGACGCATATCCTCGGCTCGACACCCTATCCTTCCCGACAAGTTACCCTCCAGACGAAAATCCCTTCGCTCACGCTCGAATCTGATCCCTCGAAGTCGCCTGCCATGCTCAGGATAGGCGCAAGAGCAAGAGTAGAACTGTAGGGGTCGTATTTGGTGCGACTATAGCGCAGAAATCAAGACTGGTAGAAGAGGCCGGCACTTTGATGTGTACAAGGGCGGAATGTCGGACTACGGCCATTCGCCGCTAAAATGGATATCCTTCGCGATGCAGGAGACGTATGACTATGGACGTTCGAAGTGTTCAATGCTGAACAGACGAGCGTTGGCGCAGTCACAAACCTCAGACCAGGACTGTCTGGCGGACATGGCCGTCTTTGAGAGGCTTATGCCTTTGTTCAGGCGTGTCTAAGCTTCGGTAGCCATTTCTCTTTGTTTTGACAGACAGAGGGACGCCAAAATGAATGAACGCGCCACGGAAGTTCGCCAGCGCCGTCGATCAAGGACTCACAGCGCGCGGTGCTGCTTGCTGGCTTGGCTTCGGAGCCGCATAACGAGGCTCTAAGCAATGTGGAACTGTTGCGGATGGCATCACTCGGCTGATTTGGTCTGATCGGATCATAGACATACGGAAAGATGCTATGTGGGTAATTCGTTGTTGAGTGGGCTTGCAGAAGATGAGCTGATGTATGGCTTGCTGTAGGCATAATTTTGCCCAGAGATCATGAGGTGACAGCCATCTCTGGGCTGCATCAATTGTCTCTAGCGTACTTTGCCTGGATGAGGCGTCTTCCTCTGCGAGCAGACACACCCGCATCTTGTCCCTGCGCGCCACGCCAGGTTGGTCCGATCAGAGACTACGCGATAAGAAGTCTAGGAAACGTTTCCATCATTGCACATCAGACGGTCCAAGCCTTTGGTGTTAAACCGTGCTGCATTCTTCCGCAGCTCTGCCGCAAAACCGATTGTTAGGTGTCTGTATGGCCTCCAGCATTACGACTTGGCATTCTGTATGCTATATCCTCGAAAATCTATCTAGGATCTTGAAACTAGTAAGCACCGAAATCTTTAACTTCAAAAGGCGTTTGTATCGGATGTATTTCCGAAAGTAATCGTTCTTGACCCTGACCCTTTTCAGTTCATCTCCACTTGACCTGTATCCGTTTCTTCCTGCAGTAAAAACACTCCAGTGCGCACAACAGTCGGAGCTTTGCCGCTTACGAATGCTACAGGTGCTGCACGCTTAGCCGTCTACTTCTCGCTCACTGGTTGAATGACGAGCAGTTGATGAGAAGAAGCCATGTTAGTAACTATGGTGAGTGAGACGTCGTCAGCCCGCGGACCCATCGCACAAAGAGAGTGCGGGGAAAAGAGATGGTCGAAAGCTGATTTGGGAGAGCTCCGCCTACGTTTCACGCTCCAGGCGCTTTTCACGTTCTTTTAAACCCGGTCTTCTCGATTTCGCGGCTCGCCTGTACTCCGCCATTCTCGTTTCCTGGCCCACGACTGACGTTGGATCTCGCATTTCCACTCCGGTCTTCACACCGCCTCCTCCTCAGTGCGCCTCTCGGAGCGGCGATGTGCTTTGCTTGAAAAGGAACCGGGCTCCTACCATGGTAATGCAGAAGGGGAGCGCACGATCTCCGTGGGAGGCATGTTCACCAAATTAAAAGAGCACGAGGACAAGGATCACCTGCTTCCACGACGCTACTCCTTCTCGATCAGCGCACTTGCTTCAAAATCACGGTCTCCACTTCCAGTCGCGGTTCACGAATGCTACTCTACCCATCTGGACTCAGAGCGAGATCGAGGTCCGCAGAGCGAGGGGGTACGGACGACAAGAGCGAGGGATCGGAGTTGAAATTCAAATGGCGACGCAAGAGCAAGTACACGGTTCGAGAGAGGAGAAAGTGGTGTGAGATGCCGGCACTTGCTTTGCACGGGACGAGTACAGAATGTTACCATAGCGCCTCGACTTCTTTCTTCCCCAGGCTCGCTGCTGCGAAGCTCTCAGATCAAGAGCTCAGGACCATCACAACCACACACAACCATCCTGCAGCGTTGTGCGGAGCGTTCCATCTGCCTTCCCGTCATGATGCTGCCACACCTCTTCCCACAGAAGAAGGCTTTTCTTCGAAGATCACGCCACGAGGGCGGCTATCGGCTCACGAGTGTACCCTCAAGTACTTGGCCTCCTCATCGCGATCCCAAGCACCAACAGCGGTCGCGACGGTCAGTCGACTCAAGAGCTATGTCGCTTGTGGGCTCAGCAATCAAATGCGAACTTGCGGGCATGTGGCATCCGCTGTAGCTCCATTGAGGAGGCTTCTTTCCATATCCTGGACAGCCTTTGTACTCGAGAGATACGGCATCACCCGGCACTGGCCTGCAAACGCTTTTGCGTGAGCTATCAAGGTGGATGGGTCATATTCAAGATGACACAGCTCGCACAGCCACACATGCTAAGCTATCTGAAGGCTTGATAGCTTTGCCAAGCTAAAGACGACCGCTGTAATCGCTGAGCTCCACGACATGGCGCCCGCAAACACCGACGCGACTCATGCACCTTTCCATACATGGTCTTCTCAAGGTCTCTCCTCTCGCTCATGCATCATGCTGGAAGATCCGTTGTCGAACGATGACGCTGACCACATCCAGTCCGGCAGAAAGGCAGAAGTTCATCACCATCTGGCTCTCGTCATGGAGACGGAAGAGGGCAAGCCGATCCACAACGGCTATACAATCTGCAAACCCTATTGCTGAATGGCGAGCCCCATGCACCTCCAGAATGTCGAGGAGAGCTCCAAGACGGGGAAGATTGGATTGGATGCGCTGGAGAAGAGCTCTATACTCATGAAGAGCCCTGTCCAGGCGCATAATCAGGATCTTCAAAGAGGCCTGGAAGCAGTATACATGCGTCATGGTGTGAGACGGTAGAGCTTTGCTCAGCAGATCGACGACACTGGCGGAACAACTTCGCGGCTCCATTCTCCCGAGTACAGCCACATGTGAACCCTCCTCATCCGGAAGCTGGAGCTCTTAAAACGAGCAAGCCGACAGCAGCGACACCAGCACGGTAACTCATTAGCTTCATCCACTGGCAAGTCTACCAGCAAATCACCAGAGCCGTCCAGGGACCAGACAAGATGTCCGACGAGCGAGAAACAGACGACCAAGCTCGATTTTGTTGAGGAAGTGTAGACTCTGAGCTGACTGGTGCCGAACAGGTGGCCCAATGAGGCCTTCCAAAGCATGTAATCTGAGTGGGCTGTCCGAAGCATCGCACAAAGCCACAGAGTACGGAGTGGAAGACATTCGGAGACCATCTCACGAACAGCACGAGCGCAGGGAATCGAGCTTCATTCAAATGCCATATTTGTAGCACCATATGGACATCGCTACGCTCTGTGCAACATACATACGGGATGACTTCCGCGGCTCACCGCGTGTCAAACGAGATTCATTCTCCTCATGATCATACGAGGTGCCGGCTTCTTACTGTGCAAATCAGCAGAGCATACTCTGATATCCTCACTTCTGCATCGTGAGGGCTAACATGCCAATGTGTGGCTGGCTTCTGCCAGCGCTTGACTCCCACGGTCCGGCTCCAGCTTTCTTTATCTTTACAGCGGCGAAGACATCACCATCCGCCATCGCCAATGCAGTCCTCACGCCGGTTTCGAATTACACTGCCGCTATGTCAAGTTTCTGGCTCAGGATGGGGGGGAAGGGACTCGCATCTGTCGAGCCGCGGAGATCTCGCATATGACCAGCAGCTGCTGTCAGTGCTGTCATCGCGAGTCTCCCGATTAACCCGTGTGGTCATCGCGCAACTTAGCCCCAATGACCTGTCAAGATGCGTTGATCCCAGACACCATCCTTCTTGTGGTCCCAATCAATGACGGCGTCTCGCTCGGATTTCAACTGCGCTTTCCAAGCAGTATTCGTTGTCGGTGATACGCTCGGTGGTGGAGATTTGCTTTTAAGATGAGAAACAGAGCCGGCTCACTTCAAATCTCCTCGGCATGCCCTCAGATCTCGGCAACAAAGTCTGCCTACCACAAAGCTTGGCGACAGACCGCTTGAAATGAAGATTTACAGCCGTCGGAGCCATATCAGCATCGATAATGTACACCTGAGTGTCGGACGCTTATGACCAAAAGACAGACTGAGACATCATTTTCGAGGGCCGAGCGCTGGAAGGTGAAGCAGTCTGAAAGCAAAGCTGCTTAGGCTGAGTTTGGAAGATCTCCGCCGTTGCACCATGGGTTCTCTGTTCTTTGCGCGCGTTTCCTCTGTCGCATTGGGGAGTCTTGACTCTTTCTACTACAATCAAGGGCGTCTTCTGTGCGCGCCATACGGATGCTCGCTTCAAGCAACTCAGCTGACGGGAGTGGTTGATCTCTTTCCTCGTCGACGACTCACTTTGTCGGTCGATGCCTTGCATGTAATCGCGTGCTTCGAGGTGTAACTTTAGCCCACTGTCAGACTTTACTATTCGTGCCATATTGCAGCATATCCTTTTTCCCAATATACTTTCGCCGACTTTCTCGTGAAGATGACATAGGTCGATTTGCGCATGTTAGTGACTTCGCGCGGGATGGCGTGGGAACAAGCTTTTGCCAAGAGCCGCTGCGTGAACCTTGTTTTTGACCTGCGTCGCCGCATGGCCTTTCTGAGAGTAACAGTACTACGTGATCATGGATGAATGATGTTAAAGCTCTTGCGCGGTATGTAGCATTCGCAACACGCGTTTCGGTAATCGTCTGATCGCTACAAGTCGATGCGGCGATGCCTTCACTCTCCGTCCACTGGTCAGACTCCAGAGATCTTGTTAGTATGTTGTTTTGGAGTCATGACGAACTTTGAGAGATGGCTCGTTATATGGGTCTTGGAATGTGATCGCAGACACGAGGTTCGAGTACATCTCAGCATCGTCAAGAAGTCCTCGGCTATTGAGGAGCTAGGCAGCAACAGAAGAAGGTCACCAAAGGCTCAGACGCACGCATTGCATTGCGGCGATAAAGAGCATCCAAGCTCAAGACCATGTGCCTCCGATCGCCTGGTCCACTCGTAGCATACACCTCTCCCTTCGCCAAGGTCCCCTCCGACACCCACCGCTCCCCGAGTCCCCCTTTCCTGGCGCCTCTCCATCACCATCCTCTCCATCCGCCTCCCTGGCGCTGCATCCAAGCGCTCATAGCCTGAAACTGTGCGAGATTCGTCGCGTAGTGGCCGCTTCCTCCGATCCACTCTCCATGATAGGGAAACGTGCCCCGGGCCAGCGCGGTAGCGCCGAAAGGCGCAGGCAGCTGAGTGCCCGGACCGCCGCTGTAAGGAAGAGTGTACTGGGGAGCTCCGCCCTGCAGATAGCCGTTGTTGTCTGCATAGATCATTGGGAGCTTAGATCCGTAGCCTGGGTAGTAAGGCATGTTTGCTAGATGTCACTAATGGTCAGGTTTGGTTAGGGTAGGTATATACCTAGAGAGGATACTACCGCCTAGAAAACCGATAGGTACCTAGTAAATTTAGCTAGGTAACCTAAAATTCGCTAGGTCTTAGGGTACCCTTCTAATTTTACTAGGTACCTTTAGGTAACGAGTAGGTATATAGTAAGTAAGTAGGTAATCTAGGTCGGTACATAGTAAGCGAGAAGGTACCTAGAAGACTATACTAAGTTTACGAATTATTTATTCGTACATACGTAGCTTTTAAGTCTTTATACGTTAAATTCGTATTACTACCGTAGAGAACATTAGAGAGAGGTAGAGAACTAGGCGAAGCATCTTAGTAAGAGTATACGATTAGAACGTCTTTAAAGGGCTATCTAGAGAAGAGCGATATAGAGCCCTATTTCTAATATTTAGAGTAGCCTAGACAGTCGGAACGTAACTTCCGAACAAGTACTATATCCTTCTACTAAAGAGTCTTCCGCTTAGCGTAAACTATTGCCTAAACACTAACTATAAGGCGTTAGTATGTCGAGTAAGCATAAGAGATGCCCTAGTACGTACGTTTAAAGTGTTAGACTAGGAGATGTTCGGTAGCCTCCTAAATCGAATCAATCGTACTACGTTAATATCGTATGTCGGTATCCGTGAAATCTCGAGTAATCTCCCTTATAAGACGCGAGAATAGAAGCCTCTTAATTAGAAGTTCCGTTAATTTCTATAGTACCCTAATCTCGCGGAGAGCTACTACTATAGAAGCATTAGTAGGTGCCGATAACATTGCCGATAACATTACTAATAACGAGTAGGTAATTAGTACGCTTACCGCCTAGCTTGTTCCTACGTTTTTGCTTTTACGGCGCCGTCTTCTAAGCGATAGTCTTACGAGGAGAGGCTAGACCCTTTCGTAGCTTCTTCGTAGTAATTGCCTTACGTTTCTACGCTATACTAAGAGTATATACGTTAGCGGAATCCTTCGAAATATAGAAGTGGGATAGCAAACCTAAGCGGACGATAGGTACGCTAGAAGTAGATAGAACAGTCTACGAGCTTGCTTTAGGAGGGGAGAGGATGTACGAATGTTGTTATATTAGTTATAGGGGCCGCTTACGAGCTGTCGAAAGCTTTTATAGGCGACTAGGTAAGGCGAGGATCAAGCAACCGTTACTAGGCAACCGTACCGTTAGCCTAGCTACGACTATCGCCGGAGGCTAGATAAAGAACAAGTAGCCGCGAAGGCGGCGACGACAAGAGTATAGAAGCCTATATAACAGCTCTATTACAGTCGAAAAGCAGTTAAATTAACTAATATTTTGCGAAGTCTAGTAACGGAACAAAGTCTCCGGGAAAGCCGCGCGACTACCGAAAGAAGAAGGTACGACCTTTATAGCGATACGAACGAGCCGAAGGTAGGGAGACGAGGACAAGCCGTACTTCGAGGTATAGAGGAGCGTTCGCGACGACTTTGTTATTAGTAGAAGCTTATATAATAATCTAGGAGTAAATTAGAAGTAGCCGCGCTATTACCGGAAGCGGTAGGTACGACGTCCTTAGCCTAAGTCGAAGACTAAGTAGTAAAATTCGGAGTCTAGAAGAGCGATTGCCTACGCTATAAGTAGATACCTAGGTCGAAAGTAGAGAGCGCGCCGAGTAGCTTAGCCTCGCCTAGAATGTCGGCCGATAATAATAGCCGATAATAATAGCCGATAATAATAGCCGATAATAATAGCCGATAATAATAGCCGATAACTATCCTACTAACTTCGGATCCGGTTTTCGGTCGCTTTAACCTACTTATTATATGCCTTTTATATACCTTTTATATACTTCTTATATAGGTCGCGATTTAAGCGGCGCGTAAGGCCTAGATATAAATTCGCGAATCTAAAGGTAGTTTCTAAGTAGTATCCCTAGCTAATTTTCGAGCTCTCGATATCTCCTACCCGCGTTCCCTAGCTAATTTAAATTCGCGAATCTAAAGGTAGTTTCTAAGTAGTATCCCTAGCTAATTTTCGAGCTCTCGATATCTCCTACCCGTATTCCCTAGCTAATTTTCGAGCTCTCGATATACCTAGTACGCGTTCCCTAGCTAATTTTCGAGCTCTCGATATACCTAGCGCGTATTCCCTAGCTTATTTTCGAGCTCTCTATATGTCCCGCCTATATTCCCTAGCTAATTTTCGAGCTCTCGATATACCTAGCGCGTATTCCCTAGCTAATTTTCGAGCTCTCTATATACCTAGCGCGTATTCCCTAGCTAATTTTCGCGCTCTCGATATACCTACTACGCGAACATACTACGAGAATATCGAGAACGGAAAGCCTCCGCGTAGATAGTATAGTATATAATACTAGTAAGCCTCGCGTTAAACTTTATATAAACGTTCGAGATATACTACGGAGCCTTCTTCTACGCTTTAGAATACTATACGTACTACGAGACTATACCGTAGCGGTACTCGTAAGAACGCTTAATACGACCGTAGACTATCGAGTCCTTGTCTAGGAGGATAAAGAAGAGGATCTATAGGCGCGACGAAGACTAGTTACTAGCTACGTTCTAAGCGGCGGTAACCTAGGCGCCTATATCGTTAGATTAGGCTAAGCTTACGGCTAGCTACTTGTTCTTAATCTTACTACCGTAGTTAGTATAGCCGGTAATAAAGGCTTTAATAAACTCCTCGACGACGGCCTTCTTAGGCTTACTACTACGACGGCCGGACACGACGTAGACCGCCTAGCTCTTAAGCGGGCTAGTATTAGTCTATAGGAACTTCTTACCCTTTAAATCCTACCTACTACTAGTACCTAGCTTCGCGTTACCTATTCCGAACTTAATAGTTAGTACTAGAAGAAGACGAGTATCTATAACACTCTTAGTAGGGTTAATCTTAAGGCTATACTTCTTAAGTATTAGATCCGAGTCCTAGGACAGTATATTAAGGCTATACTAGATTGCTCGGTAGCGCTTAGCTAGCGGCGTAACTACGAACTTAATTATATTCGTAGTCTAACGCTTATTCGTCTTATAGGCGTACCGCTAATTCTCCTTAATTATAAGGCACTCTATTAGAAGAACGGTATTCTTGCCCTTAGTTATCTTATAGAGAGGGAGGTCGGACTACTAGAGGCAAACGGTATACTTCTTAGCGATATAGTCGTAGAGAGTAGTCTTAACCTCCTTGCCCTCTAGGTCTTAGATCTGTAATTTATGCTCCTTAGTAGACTTGTAAATAAAGCGATTAATAACGTACTCGTCTAGGTTGTCCTTGTTACGATAGTAGGCGAGTATACGCATCCTATACATCTTCTTTAGTTCTTTGCCGGCGCGGCCGTTCTCGCCCTTAGAAAGCAAGCCGGCTAAGTTAGACAGACCGCGCGCTCCGTAGACCTAGGTAGTAGCGAGGTAGAAGGGTTGCTTAACCTAGAAAGTACCGTTCGTAATATTAAGGTTAATAGAGAGATAGCTAGGATAGGCGACGCGGAGGGACTAGTAAATACCCTTTAAGGCCTCGATATTACTAGTAAGGTGAAAGCGGTCCTCGCCGTACTTAAAGAAAGCGCGCTTAATAGATAAGTAGCGCTAAGACGGAGTGTAACGTAGAAGGTAATTAGCGAAGTTAATAGTCTTAAGACAGGCGTTATCGAATAACTTCTTACCCTTAAGATAAGCTCGTAAAGACTAGAAGGCGGCCTAGTTAGTCTAACGAATAACGACCCGGTACTACTTAGTAGGCTTGTCGCCGTAAGAAGCTAAGACAGTTACCGAGTAGGTAGAACAAGAGAGACGCGGCTTAGAGACTACGCGCTCGCTAAGAATCGCCGTCGAAATGCGCTTTCCTCCTTAAGCCGATTTGCTATTATCGGCGATTGTTATCGGATAAGCTCGATTACCTATAAGATAAATCCGTTTAGAAAGGGAGCGGCGAGCGGCTCTAGCGATAGAGGGAAGATACTAACAAGATAACGCGTCCGTAAGTTAGCGGGACAGTACAGTCTGTCTTCGCGTAGTCTTATACTAGAGGAGAAGAAAGGGATAAAGTATTTACGTAAAAGCTTACTCTATAGTAAGTTAGATAAGGCCTTCGTACTAAGGCGAGAGAAGTTATTAAATAAGGAGACGCGCCGTAGAGAGAGAGAGTAAGAGAGATCCAAACAATTAAGGGTAAGTAATATTAAATTAGTTAGGAGACGTAAGCTAACTAGGGCGGACCCTGTCTCTATCCCTTAGATAGGGTAAGTCTATTACGTACCGGACTCCGCCCGAAGCCGGTAGAGGCAAAAAGCCGTACGCGCTATATATAGCCTTCGCGGGTAACGACATAACTAATAATAATATCGACGGAGTATACTATCCTAGACAAACGACCTAGAAGCTAACCTTACCTATCGATATACTAAATCTAAGAAGTAGCGCTAGTGTTCTAAGGCCGCCGTAGCTAACCGTTACCTAGTAACTACAACCCTTAGACTCTTTCGTTACCCTAACAACCGTAACTAAGAATAATACGAGACTCGACGACGACTTTCTTCGAGGAAATCCTATACCGACTGTTCGTAAGAATACCGACCCTAGCTCGCCTTATTACCTACTCTATTATTCCGTTTAGATAGCGCCTCGACGTAAGAGACAGGCTCCGAGTCCTCTAAGCCTAGCGTAGTATAAGAAGCGTAAGGCGGAACACGAGTATTCTAAGCTACTAAAGACTGTTCGAGATCTAGAGTATAAGCGTAGCCTAACGGGAGATAAACGGCGGAAGTAGCTTAAGACGAACAGATTTAGTACGTAATAGGGTAGAAAGCTAAGGAAGGAGGTCTTATGTCTAGTATACGGAACGAATTAGAAAACCGAGCTTATAGACGCTAAAGCGACGACAAAAGCTACGCTATATCGGGCGGGCTTAAAGGACGGCTTAATGTATACACCCTATTATCGGCTATGTTATCGGTATATAGCTAACTTTAAACAGGACGATAGAAGG